TACGATTCCATGCTGAAGCAGTTAATCGTGTGCATAAGATGCGTTTTTGAGAAGAGGTTAATTTTAATTTTGCTCGAGGACCGTTTAATTCCAGATATTCTTCAGCACAATCATAATAATGATTTTTGAATACTGAGAATACATATACATCTAATAATTGAATGTATTGTGTACATCCTTACGGAATTATCGCCAAGCATACACCATTAGATTTTATCTTCTTTTTCAAATCTGCATCCATATGACAATTGCAGCTATCTGTAATGAAAAGCTTACGATTACCATCTTTAACTTTGTCTAACCACCAATCCATATATTTCTTCGTAGCTGGTATATTTATAAATGCTTTGGGTGTAAAAAACACTTTGACATGCGGCGAATAATGTTTTTGTTCTGTAACAGCAACTTTTCCTTTACCTCGAAATAAAAGCACAGGTTGAACACGATTATTATTATCAGGAAAAACACATAACATAACTGTTGCGAACCGTTTATCGTCCAGATGACCTTCGATTTCATTTTTGGTATTCATATCATTAATACAACGCCTTGATTGATCACCCCACAAGTTCAACGGCGATTCATCCATGTTACATGTATCGGCTTCGGTAAAACAACCCATGGGACCACGTTCTGGACCTAATTGACTGGAACGTCGTAAGTATGAATAAAACTTATCAAGTAATATATGTGCTTCTGAACGTGAGACCTTTTGTTTTCTGACAGGTTTCTGTAGGGATAAACGATGTCTTTTTAAAAATCTTGAATACCAACGTCTTGATGGTTGTTTACTTCCACCTCATTCACAAAACCGTTGTGCTTGTCTGATCATGGCTTTAAATGTCACCTTTTCTTTGGATACTTCGTGACCTTCTTGATCCAAACCTCGTTTTGATCGATACCATGTGATCAAATGTTCGTCCAAATCATAACAGGTTAATTTTGCACCGGCACCATCAATTCTTTTACGTTTTCTATTTTTTGCACTATCTTTGAGTAATTTTATATATTGGTTTTCGTTTCTTTTCCATTCACGAATCATTTTTCTGGTGCACGAAAATTCCAACTCAAGTGTATGCAAAGAAGCACCTTTGTTAAGTTCAGAAATAATTTTCATTTTCTCTATTAAATTCCATTGACGACGTTTATGTTTAATGGAAATGTCGGTTGTTGTTGAGTCAACGAATGTCGAAGAAGGTGATGTTGGATCAATATAAATAACTTCACCATTATTGAAACTTGTTAAATTTTCAATTTCATCTTCGCTGTTGTTGTCATCATGGTTAAGATTCAGTCGAATAAAATCATCATTCACAAGATCAGTATGATGAACTTCAACATCAGAAGCAATCGAAATACTGTCTGAATCAGAGTCTTTGTCGATGTGATCATCATCCATGAGAGATATTTTCACGTATCCAATATTCAAAACGTGTAAGTGACTTTTAGAAAAAAGAAGAATCGAAATGACAACGACAGAGATATAATCACTATGTGCATGTCAGAAATGAAAGAGATATTCGTAAGTGTATGTATCACCATAAACTTGAGAAAGAAAACATTGTACTATGGACTATTTTGACGGCAGGAAGAACAGAAGAAAATTCCTTGATTCAACCTTAAGACATACATATACAGAAAAATAAAAAAAAACTGACTTTAATAGATGAAATATTAAAAGGGGTCTTCTAATATGTCTTTTACATAATTTATTTCAGAGAGGTCTTTCAGAGAGCAACTTTTTTTTGTTGCTGTATTTTTCTTTTTCTTTTACCATTATTTCGTGAATAAAGGGACAGTTTAAAAAACAAAAAAAGATGGAAAACCAAGATTTTGTATTGATTATAGAAATTGAATGCAATAACCGAAAGAGATGTCTATCCACTACCACGCATAGATGACATCGTTGATCGTATGGCTGGTGCACTATTTTTCACCATACTGGATTTAAAATCTGGTTATTGGCAAGTACTGGTTTCGGAGAGTAACAAGAAAAAGACGGCATTTATTACAACTGATGGTCTATTTGAATTCAACATTCTTCCCTTTGGCTTGTCGAATGCTTCGACCACGTTCCAATCTTCAACACTGAAGAACAAATTGTCTCAATACCCACTATTAGCTTAGCATGATGGCAAATCTTCACTGAAACTATCAATTGATGCTAGTGGCTATGGTATTGGTGGTGTTCTTCACAAAATTAAGGAGGAAGGTGACAAGCCAATGTTATTTCTCGCCAGAACAATGATAACGGCTGAGCGGAAATACAGTCCTGTTGAACGTGAATGTCTAGCGTTGGTGTGGTGCATCACAAAATTGCGTCTCTATTTATACGGTCAGCATTTCACATTGCTAACAGACCACCATCCACTTTGCTGGCTCAACAAACAAACATCGAAAAATGGTCGTCTTGATCGGTGGGCGTTGCAATTACAAGACTACGAATTCTCCATCAAGCATGTGCCAGGAAAACACAATTGTGTTGCTGATTGCCTATCTCGTTATCCAATGTCATCACCTGATGATCTAGTTCAACAAAAATTGGATGAAGTTTGTATCATCACAGCAAATCCATGAACCTACCCTCTAATTTTTGACTCAACCAAAATCAAAGGAGAACAATTGAAAAATGTACAGATAACCAAAATGCATTTTGATTTGGTTGCTGGTGTTAAAATGAAACATTATGAATTACAAAATAATGTGACATACAAAATCATTCATCGTGGCAAATCAATCCTGAAGCTGCCATGTATCCCTCCAAATTTGATTCAACCACTGCTTCAATCCTACCACAATCATCCAACAGCCGGCCATTTAGGTGTGGTGAAAACATGGTATAAAATCCGTGATCGATATTTTTTGCCTAGCATGTTCAAATCAGTTGAATCTTATACCAAAATCTGCCAACTATGTCATCAATTCAAGATCTCAAGAACCATGCCAGCTGAACTAATTGAAACCAATTGAACAACCAAGTGGAGTCATTGATTTGATGGGACTTGATTTTGTTGAACCCCTTCCAATTTCAACCAACTGCAACAAATATATCCGTGTGTGTGTGTCGATTATTTATCCAAGTAAGCCATTACCTGTGCTTTATCCGATTGTACAGCCGAATCTACAGTCAAATTTCTTGTCGCAAAAGTCATCCTACAATTTGGTGTGCCCAAACAGTTGATAACTGACCAAGGAAATCATTTCATCGCTAAATTATTTGAAGCGGTGGCTTCAAGATGCGCGGTATTCACCATATTAAAGCAACAACTTACTATCCTCAAACGAATGATCTCACCGAACGAATGAATGCCACAATAGCAGCTTCAATTGGTGCATACGTTAATCAACAACAATCCGATTAGGATGAATTTTAACCATTCATCACATTTGCATACAACACATCCAGACAAGAATAAAAAAAAATGGCTCCGTTCACATTGGTGTTTGGTCGTGATCCCACCCGCCCATTTGATATTCCAAAAGGCATCGTGGCATTATCCGCCGTCAATGATTACTAACTTCAACTTCGGCGATTCCTCGATCAAGCCAAATCAACAGCAAGTTACAGTGTCAAACAACAACAAGACGTCTACAAGACAAGATTTGACACTGGACGAAAATATATGATTTTACACGTTGGACAGAAAGTATTTCTCAAAAAAATGATGGCTAAAAATCTTCGAAAATTTTCTCCAAAGTTCTATGGCCCGTTTGAAGTCATCAACCAAGAGGGAAGACTGAATTATGTAGTGAAGCATGTCAATGATGGTCATATAGAAAAAGCACATGTTTCGTGAATCAGTCCAATTTAAATCCACGAGAGCACTAATCAGCATTTCCAATGTCGAACCTCGTCACAACGGCAGCATCAGTCAAATTGACATTTGGATGGATAATTATAATTAGGAGTGGAAAAACATTTTTATGACAGAAATTAGCCACCAAGAGGTTTACAAAAGTAGTACTCCGAATAAGTGATAATTCTATAAGTCTTATTCGGAGTACTCATGGGTATTTCTTTTTTGGAGTGCTTCGGAGCACGCCTTTTTATAAAGTGCAGTCGAGGCACTGCGGAGGACACAGAAGTACTCAGCTTTTTGTGGTACTCTATTGTAGTTTTTGGAGTAATTCTTTTGAGCCGGAGCACTCTTTTTGGGAAAAAGCGTACTCCTTTTTTTTTCCAAGAAGAGTGCTCCATCATGCTCCTCCTCTTGTATTTTTTTTTGAGTGGGTATCTAAACAAGCTTTTGATAATAAAACATGAAAATCTAATTCATTGCTGGCACTGACAAAAAAAGAAGGATACAAGTTACGTTTCACATTACGTAACAGTTTTTTCTTAGTTTTATTATCCATATGGACTGATTTCCGGTGACATCTGTCTCAGGATTTCAGAAAGAGTTTGCTTAGTTGTTATTTGTCCCTGCATCAGTAGAACCCATGTCTGTGAATATTTTGTCTCTTGTGGCTAAAAAAGAATTTATTATTTTTCTCTGTTGTGATTGGCTATCCATGGAATATCTAACAGTCATTTTTCTAACAATCCGCGTTCTTTGATGTAAATATGTTTCATCACTGTTTCCGGTACTTTTACACTTTAAGGACACTAGCGTCCGCCATCTTGGAAGATGGCGGAATCCATGTAATACAAATGGTAAACTATGGACCAATCAGAAAATGCTGGAGAGGCTGTCCTGGGTCGCTGTGGTGGAGCGACATCTGTCGAAAGTAGCTATACAGTGGTTTAGGTCGACTTAGACCAGGGAATTAGGCCATGTCAAGATAAAGTAAAGTGAAATTTTAGATCTGGTTTAGGTCGACTTAAACCAGAGAAAGCTCTTTTAATATCAGTCTTTGATGCTTTGACCCAAGTTGAACAGCAGTCTACTAGGCCATGTCAACATAAACTAAAGTGTAATATTTGTTGAATAAATATATTTTCAAACAATTTTCTCTCTG